CAATCTAATGAATATATTTTATTTCTTAAATCTGGACCGGAAGTTCCGGTACTTCCGCCTTCTCCGCTGTTGCTAAGTAACCAAAAAAGCTTTAGCCTCGTCAGCTTCTTATTTTCTTATAGCAGCAGGTTAGCAGAGCTTACAGCCTGACACAGCGATGGAGGTGACGATGGACCCTTTGTTTCTTGCATGGAGCTACTTCAGGAGGCGGAAGCTTCAACAGTGTTCGGATATTTGTAGTAAAATATTGCAAGACAGTCCCTACGATCAGGTAATGTTAGCTGACAATGCTAGCTAACAGTTTTAAAGCTGTCGCAAACTAATCCAGATTAGTCCTTTAGGTGCAACCTATATCACTAAGATTGCATGTGTTTGTTTCAACTATCAAAATGTTTTTGTGCTTTTTAATGCTTGTTTTTGTTTTTCTGCTCGTCCTTTTTGTTTCCTTTTTTCTGTCTTTCGCCCATTTATCCTTTTTTACATCCTGGCTTTATCCCTGTGTAACTTTCTGCATGTCTTAAGGACTCATCCTTCCTTATCTCAGAGGTAACAAAAAATGCTGCACTCTTTTCTGGGTCTTTTTGTGTCCATAATAGGCCCAAATTGTAAAATGTCCACCTTTAGCTTCATTTGGGTGCTTTGTATGATTCAAGCTTCGTCCTCTACAGGCTGCATGGAGCTTGAAAACTAGAGCCCTCACAGAGATGGTGTACATTGATGAAGTTGATGTTGATGAGGAGGGAATTGCCGAGATGATACTGGATGAGAGCTCGATTGCACAAGTTGCACGTAGGTTTCAGCTCTTTACCAGCAAAAACAATAAACTTCTGATAAATTTTGTGATAAATTGTAATTGTTTAAACTCTCCTCTAGGACCTGGAACATCACTGAGACTCCCTGGAACAAGTCAGGGTGGTGGTCCCACTCCAGCAGTCAGGTATGTTGCCTTCACCAGGAATATATTTAAATATTCTGTGTTAATATTTAAAATAAACCTGACTATGATTTCTGATGATCAGGCCGATGACACAATCGGGGCGTCCTATCACAGGGTTTGTGAGACCCAGCACACAGTCAGGGCGACCTGGAACCATGGAGCAGGCAATCAAAACACCGCGCACAGCAAGCACCGCTCGTCCTGTCACTAGTGCTTCTGGTAGATTCATTCGTTTGGGAACGGTGAGTGTTCTGCTTTTATCGAAGCCAATTCAGATCATATTTAGAAATTAATTTAAACATAACATAAAAGAATTGAGAAATTAATGAGACTCCTTTGGTAAAAATGTGTATGAAGAAGAACATCCTAAGACATCAACAAGTTGTGGATTTCCTATTGATTTTACTTTTTAAAGAAACTCAGATAAGCCTAAAACAAGGATGTATTTAAAAAGTGTTTCAGATTCTATTTATTTATTTAAAGTTATTAAACTATAGATAGTTAGCCCATTTATTTTGCAAGAGAAAAAGCATAAAAAAATAAACATCAATTTATTATTCTAAGGCTGACCTTTCCCATTATCAGTCTAACCAAATATAGGTTAATACGTTCTGATAATTTAAGCATCTTCTGTACCTCTAGTTTAAAAATGAATTTATTCTAACCCTTTTTAGACATTTAGATCAGGGGGCCAGTAAACATACATCACTGTACATTTGATCTTACAAAATATTATTTAGCTCATTTCTAAAAATAAATTTCTTTTAAATGTCTAAAACAACACTGTATTTTCTTTTTTTTCCCCAGGCTTCAATGCTAACCAATCCAGAAGGACCCTTTATAAATCTGTCAAGAATAAATCTGTCCAAATACTCCCAAAAACCCAGTTTATCCCGGGTAAGACAATAAAAAAATGCATTCTAATAATTTATTTAAGTTATTTTCATTTTTTTTTTGTCATTTCTTTAATCTTCTGTTTGCAGACTCTATTTGAGTACATCTTTCATCATGAAAACGATGTAAAAAATGTGAGTGTTGCATTCATATGTGCTGTATAGAGAACTGGTTTGCATTTTGACTATTTGAAGCTGATAAATATGGGTTAATTATCTGCAAGGCTTTAGATTTGGCAGCTCTAGCCACTGAACATGAGCAGTTCAAAGATTGGTGGTGGAAGGTTCAACTGGGAAAATGTTACTACAGGTAAATGGGACTCACAACCATCTAAACTCTGAGCATTATAATAATGTTGTTTATTAAAACTGTCAATCTATTTGCCTGTTCAGACTTGGTTTATACAGAGAAGCAGAAAAACAATTTCGATCAGCTCTGAACCACCAGGAGGTGGTAGATACATATCTCTACCTCACAAAGGTAGGGACTTAATGATTAAGAACACTTAAAAAAAAGAATCCTGAAATTCAAAAATTGTGTCTGTGTTTACTTCAAGGTTTATCAGCGGATGGATCAACCTTTAACATCTCTTAACCTTTTCAAGCAAGGTCTGGACCACTTCCCTGGTGAGGTTACGCTTCTCACAGGAATCGCCCGCATCCATGAGGTACAATGAGTCGACATAAAAGCCTCGGTTTTCAAGTCTCCTGTCGGGATACAAATTAGGAAAAATTACGTATTTACCGTTTCTAATGTGATTTCTTTGCAGGAGATGAACAACATTTCATCAGCCACAGAGTACTACAAGGAGGTGTTGAAGCAGGACAACACACACGTTGAGGCGATTGCCTGCATAGGCAGCAATCACTTCTATACTGATCAGCCTGAAATCGCCCTGCGGTTCTACAGGTCGGGAAGATTTACTTTGAATTATTGCAGTATTTTCACAGTTTAAAGTTCCATCCAGAATTAATCTTTTGAAGCTTTTTTTTACATTTTGAGGACTCACTATTTTAATCCATGAATGTGGATGAGCAACACCAACTAGTCAATAATTGGGAAGAGAAAAGATGTAGTCTGGCGGGAGGCATTGTTTTGTAGAACTACTTTCAGCTGCAATTATAATGGAAAGTCTTTTTGGGTAGAACTCTACCAGTTTGGTTTCTCATATCGAGACTGAAATATTCATCCATTAGCATTTACAAAATAGCTCAAGCTCAGATTATATAGTATCTTTTAACATAAGCTTTATTGACATTAATTCTCTGTTGGATAAAGGATTAAACGTCAATTTACCCATTACAAAATATACTAATTATCTTAGTCTAAACCATTTCTCTTAGCTTGGCTGTGTGTTTGAGCTCATTTCACAGGTTTTCCTTGAGGATAGCCCAGTGTGCAGCTCCATTCATCAACTCTGACTAGCTTCCCTCTCAACAATAAAGGAACCTACTCACACAGCATGATTCTGCCACCACCATGCGTCGTAATATTGCTGGCGTTTGCAGTTTATGTTTCATTAGTGTTCCTCCAAAGCCAGTATTTTTATTTAAGTCATAGAGTAAAAGGTGGTCTCATCTAAGCGGTGCACCATCATTCACACGTTTGCAGCTCTGCAGCTCCTCCAAAGTTAAAATGGATCGATGGACTTCATCTTTGATAAAATCTCTCCTTACTCCACTTGTCAGTTCAGCTGGACCTCCATGTCTTAATAGGTTTACAGTTGTAGTACGCTGACTGCAGTGGATTTTACTATGTATCAAAGTCAAATGAGAGGAATGTAAATGCTTGCTAAACATTTTAGAGTCTTATATTTCAAAAACCAGCCTTAATATTTTTGTAATTCTTTTGTTGCCTTTTTTTTGTCTACCACATAATAGTGCAACAAATGACATATTTTTGGGAAGTTATCTGACAAAATGTGAGAAGGTTTTAGGGTTTTTAATACTTTCTAAAGCTCCGCCTCTAATGAGAAGTTATAACTGAATGCAGGGTGCTTCTTCTGTTCCTAGACGGCTTCTCCAAATGGGAGTATATAACTGCCAGCTGTACAACAACCTGGGCCTCTGCTGTTTCTACGCACAACAGTATGACATGACCCTGTCCTCATTTGAGAGGGCTTTAACTCTGGTGGCCAATGATGAAGAGTTGGCAGATGTCTGGTACAACATTGGACATGTTGCTGTGGTGAGTGAGCAAACTAGAGAAAAATACCAGAAGGTCTACGTTGTTGTTACTAACAACGTTTCCACAAAGAACTTGGAAGCCAGTGTACAACAAATTGAGACTGAGTTGTGTCTTTTTTTAAGGGCATTGGGGATTTGGTTCTGGCGTATCAGTGTTTCAAGCTCACCCTGGCTTTCAATAATGATCACGCTGAGGCATACAACAACCTAGCAGTACTGGAGCTTCGGAAAGGTCATATTGAGCAGGTGAGGTCATGGATTTTATTCAACTGTAAATATGCAAAGGTTTTTGTTTTTATAGCTACAATGTGTTTGTATCGTTATAACAAAATGAAAGTTCCATATTATCCCCATTAATACGAAACTTGTTATAAATAGTCTTGTCATTCATTTGTAATCAGACATAAGAGGAGTTTGTGTTAACCAAATAAAGTATTCGTTCGTGTTCGTTCGTAAAGCACATTTGTGGAAGCTATTCATTATGAAAAAAGTTGTTAAAAAGATAAGTGGCTTGGGTGACATTAGATGAATATGGTTGCATTATTTACAATCTTATAGAGAAGTGTTTATAAGAAACATCATCTCCTGTTCAGTCCAAAGCCTTCCTGCAGACAGCTGCGTCGCTGGCCCCTCACATGTATGAACCAAACTACAATCTCTCCATTCTGTGTGAAAAGGTAAAGCACTGCTTTGTGATATATAAGAGCTTCTCAAATGTAATTTTCTGCCATGGTCTTTTTTTTTATATATATATATATGTTAATGATACAGATGTCTTTTGCCTCTGTCCAGATAGGAGACCTTCAGAGCAGCTACACTGCGGCTCAGAAGTCTGAAGATGCTTTTCCAGAGCACGCCGACACTCAGCAGCTCCTCAAGCAGCTTCGGCAGCACTTTGCAGCGCTGTGAGGTTCAAAGTCTATCAGGCCTCCCACTAAAAGTTTATGAAAATAGTAAAAGACGAAGGGGTTAGTCAGACAGAAAACGGCAAAGAGGCATTCATTTTATTTCTTAATGTTTTATACAAATAAGAGTTGAATTTAGCAAAGATTTTACACAAGTAGAAATTTTGTTTTCTATGACAGTGTGTAGCCTTTAACTTTTACTCTGTGTGTAGAAGGACTCATATGTTTATTTTTATGTAAAATTCTGAAGAACTTTAAAATTAAGTGCTAAGTTTCTATATTTTGTTTATACATTTAAGTCAGATTTTTGTTGTTATACAAACTTTTTAAACAGATGTATTTTCTGTAACAGTTGTTTTGTAGTTTGATCTTCCATGCATAGTTCATAAAGTGGTAAACAATAAACAAGACAAAGGAATCTCAGAGTTAATTTGCTGTCTTGCCAAATTTAACCAGAACCTTGAAACGATTTATTTTTTATCTCAAAGATGTTGGTGCCATTTCACAAATCCACTTTAAGTTAAAATTGCAAGGTGCATCATTCCAGGATGTGAAAGGGTTGCTTTTGGGATACACTGCTGCACAGTCCTCGTTGTTAACGTTGTTTGGTTCTCCGGGATTCCAGAACCTGCAGCAAATATTAGGTCACTTTGTTGAGAGGTAATATAAACTCTTACACGGTTTATCTAAAACCACAGATAGTTTTAAGCAGGTTTATTAGGCATATACAAAATTTACCCTTCAGTCAGTCTCGTCCCATCCAGCCATTTCCAAACGCCTTCCTCCTCCTCATCTGTCAGACCGATCCAGAAACCACTGTGGATCATTGCTCTTGAGGGGTCTTGGTAAGAGCTAATCAAACTAGTTATTCCAATCTGTAAAAAGAAAATTTACACACAGGTTTTCATAGTTGGGTATACCAAAGCAATAAAAAAAGGATTTATCCCATTATGGATTTATTCTGTTGTTTAATTGCTAAACAATTTTTGACATAATAGACAGATAAGTAAAGCAAAAATAAAGCAAACTAGATGTGTTAAATCTTGATTTAAATACACATTAGCAGGCTGAAGTTGGCTATAAAATGGCAATAATGCTCTTTACCCCATCGCTTTAGGTCTCTCCTCTGTGCGAGCAACCATTGCATCATGAACGATCACTAACATTACGTCCCCTCAGCCAATCAGCTTCATGTATAACCTCAGCTCCTGTTCTGTCTCTGCACTAAAAGCCTTTTCTCCCCTCAGCAGAGAAAATGCAGTCGTGAAAAGTCGCTTTGATTGATTAAGGTGTATTAATGCTCTGCGTTAGACTGTAACATAACAGCGTTATCGATATGTGAAAGGTAATTGGTTAGATAACTCCATTTCTGAAATTAGTTACTAACAGCATTATTATGTGATGTGTTTCTCCCAACACTGCTTGAGTAGAACCAGTCTGACAAGATGAAGTCTGCTAAAGTACCTGAAAAAGCTCAGTATCTGAGGAGAAAGTTGAAAGCGGATGAGAAATAAAGCCATTAGATGTTTTTTTCAGACTTTGAGTCTCCTGAGAGCTGTTATCCACAAATGGAGAGAGCATGCGGTGAGTCTTTCTCAGTATTGGCCTGCTACCAAAATTACTCAAAGAGTGTATCAATGATTGTTCCTCAATAAAGGTCAGTTTTCATAAATCAACAAAAATAACGAAGAGCAAAAAATGACAATCATATGCTAAATGTAAAAATAATAATGCATTGAGATGAAAACTATCTGTCAGGAGTGTGAATGTGTTGCCTTACATTCTTCTCTCTGCTGTTTATGATTGCCAAGTCCCCTCCTAACCTCTTGCAGGACTGGCGGGCCCCGTTCCATGACACGCGGCTGACGGTGTCAGAAAACGTGAAGTAAAAACAGCTTGAGCTCATGAAAGTCCATCCAGGCAAACAGTGTCTGCAGCCTTCCTCTATTTTGGAAAAAAAAGGAATCTTAAATTCTTGTTAGCTTGTTTACAGTAATTACATATATGAAATGACTATTGAAGAGCCTCGCACTTATCATTAGGAGGTGGGATCTCAGTGCTACAGTGTCCAGCTGAATCTTTTCAACCTTTTTTTCATAGTCCTTAACTCTAACGTTCAGGTGCGCGAGTTCCCACTTGGTGACCTGCTGCTCACGGATCTCCATCGCCAGCTGTTTCCTGGCTTCATCCCTACTTTGGACTGCAGCGTCATAAGAAGCTTGAAGTTTGGTTATCTCACCACTGATGTCTCTTACTATATTATTAGCAGTGAGTTTGTTATCTGTAGGAAATAAAAATTGTGAAATGATAAGTTATTTCCCCTCAATTCTTTTGATAGAACAGAAAAGTTTTCAAATTTTTATTTGAGTACGTTTCATTCATTTATTGGATGATATATACAATAAATAGTATGAAATATTGGCAATAATTTATTCTGTAAAGTTAAAAACATTTTCAGAATATGTGTTTCCATATATCACAGTTTAGGAACCACATCTTTAAATAAAAGGATAAGATGTTAAAAGACTTTTGGAGACGTTTGCCCATTATAGTTTTAGATTAAACCTTTATTCGCTGTGCTCTTTATATATCCAGAATAGAACATTATTAATTTTTCAATACAAGCTTGCACTTTTTAAAATTTCTGAACACAGATTACTTCATTTTCTTACTTAAAAATTTACCAATCATATATTGTGATTTCTAGATTTTTTTCTTTTTAGATTATGTCTCTAATGGTGGACATGAACATACAATACAAATTTCAGACCCATCCATTCTGACTGGATATTTCATCACTCTTTACACTCTTTACAATATTGGAAGGTTTATTTTTCCAATAATATATATATTCAATATGGTTACGATGAGAAAAAAATCCTAAATCCATTCAGATTTGCATTGAGGGTCATCATCCAGTAGGAACATTCATTTGTGTCCAGATACCAATCATCTAATCCAAATGCGGATTAGAAATATCATGCTTGTATTTTTAAGAACATTGTAGGAGCGACTAAGATTTAAGGCAATAGTAAACGAGAACATAATGGAATGCAACTGTTATTACAATAATGCTATTGAAGTTCATTTCATCATATTGCTTATGTTTAGACTGTTCAAACCTTTTTTTCTGAAACAAAAAAATGCTTTTTAGTCAAATTAGACTATTATTAAACTGTTCGGCCTAAAAGATAGGAATAATACTGGGATAAACTATTGTGAGACTTTCAAACCTAATAAGGTTTGACAGTCTTAGCATAGTCTAAGCATAGTAGTTGTATTGTGGATTACAGTAAATCTCGGATAAATTTAACTTGGTCACATGTATCTACTTTAAAAAAAGCAGTGTATATATATATATATATATATATATATATATAGATATAGATGAATGGTTTTATATATACAGAAAAATCAGTTCAAGCAGCAGAAGAACTGCAATATGCTGTTTATCTGATCATTATTGGTGCACATAATCTTTTTTTCTTATTGCATTTTCTTGATATTACAAACTTGTGTGATTAATCTACAACAAGTTGTCTAATCTGGTTGGTTTTGAATCGTAATACATTATAGAAATCTGACAACAGATTTGATTAAAACATATTAATCCCTTAATTCAATATCGTCAGTTTACTGTAACTCTCTTTACATCATAAGTGTTGCATTAAACATCAACATTAGTGTAAAGTTACTTGCATAAAAATAACTTACAGTATACCCCCAGGCCAATATTCACCACTAGCAGGATCAGTGCAAACACTCCGAGACCCACTTTGAGCAACTTGGAATGATCTATGCTTGATTCAGGTCTCAGCGCCGACACAGTCACTACATAGGAAATATTAGAGCCATCGACAGTTGAGAAAAAGAGGGATATATAAGCATGAGAAAACAGTTGAATGTATTTTTTAACTAGTTGAATGTATTTTTTTAAATTTCACTTGTTTTTTTTTAAATCCAATTGTACAGCCACACACAAGGCCAAAATTAGTCCTGAAATGTCAATAAAGCCAATCACAGGTCTGCCATACCTTGATTCTCTGAATTGGAAGAAAAAGTATAATCATCTTCAGTGGCTTCCTCGTGACTGATCAGTTGGTTGTAAGGACGACTTGCATTTAATGTTTCATCCATTTTTGAATGTTATATTGAGAGTGGTCTGAAAGAACAGTCCAGCAGAGATTGTTTGTCAGGACGTTGCCCTGTGTAACATTACACACAGAAAAAGTTCATTTGTTAAATATTGACAGAGGTAAACCAAGTGACTGGGCCGGACTTTAGCAGGACTAACCTAGGCTGGACCCCAGTCTGGGGCTAAATAATTATTTAATTGTCTAGTAAATGGATGTTTTTACAAGCAGAATATATTAATTCAATTAAATTCAAATATAATTGTCTAATCTCAAGGAAATTATATTTAGGAATTTAGAAACAAAACCTGTAACCCCATATTAAGTTAAGCTAGTGTATTCTGATTGATTAAAGTGAAATACAGTTAACCCCAACAACTTTAAAACCCTTTATTTTTATTGAAAATGACTTTTAACCAACCAGAAGGTTTGTTTCTGAAAGGATATGAGGTAGGAATCAGTCAAAAAAAAAAAAAAAAAATCTAAATAAATAAATAAACTATTCAAAAGTTTTGCCAGTTATGTTTTATATGTAATCATGGGTGAAACATTTCTAGAAGTGACACTGTAATTCTGAGGAACCAATTAAAAAAGAAGAGATATAATATCACAGTTAGAAAATGACCCTGAATTTGGTTCACCGCTGCATATTGTTTGCACTTTAAATTTGAAAACCATTATGCATCTATGTTTGAAACTCTCACTTAGATTAAGAAGAAAGTAGTTTAGCTGTTCTTCTCTCTTTTTTAACAGTCAACAAATTAAATAAATCATTTTTGACAGGGTTCCTGATCTTATGTATGCTGTTGAGTTGTAAGCACCTTTTAAACCGTTTTAAATGTAAATTTTGAAAGATAAAATGTTGTCTAAATTTGTATGGTTTTTTTATTGGCTCCTATTATAAGTAGTGCAGATACTTTAAGATTAATCATGTGACTTTCACATGTTTCTGCTGTATCAGAACATAGTTGGGTACTTTTGCTGTGATGTTATTGTTTTACCTTGTTTTTCAAATGTCTAAATTAAAGTTACGTTGATTTTGTAGAAGTGCAACACATTTTGGATACACCTGGCATGTAGGAACTGCTTTAATCGTGAAGCTCAATCTTCCAAAATGCTGAAAAATACTGCATTGGAACCGTGAAAAATGTTACTTAGCAGGAAACTGCTTTAAAGCTTCCTGTTTGTACTTTCAGCTGAGGTGGACTTGACTCAATTCTATCTTCCTCATACCTCACCCAAAATATGTAGGTTATCCTGAGCTTTTTTCTATATTAATGTTGCTATAAGTTTAAGCCGCTGGAGGACTTAGGGACCACTTTCCATCATTCCATCTCCTGCAGTATTTAGTTAGTTCAACCCCTAACTGTATATTGTCTCTGCATTTTCTTGCCATAGTACCAGTAGCTTCATCTAATCTGTTCTGTTTGAATGTGACATTATCCTGGAGAGAAATATCAGCTGTGCTGGTGCCAACAACACCTTTGTTTATAGATATTGGAGCTTGGCCTGTTTTTCAGTGTAGTCCTGTTTCTCTTAAGGCTTATTTATGCTTCAAAACTAGGTTGTCTGCGTATGTGTCGCAGTAAACAAAAAGACGTCCCCGCCCCCTCCGCAGACACCCTGCTGCACCTCTCCCAAATTGTAGGTGAATGCAGACAGTGACTCAGACAGGAGGCCAGCCTGTTTTGTTTTTATTATCCTAATTGTAGAAAACAACTCGTCAAGTTGGACCAGCTAGAAGAGCGAGGTGTGCAGTTACACTGGGACCCTTTTTCCACCTGGATCCCCGCTCTTTTTCGCCCTAATGTCCCTCCGTTGTCAGACAAACTTGCCTCCACTTCCTCACCGCCTCGGCCATATCTAGACCCACAGCATATAGCGCAGACCACGCTTCAAAATTCAGCATAAATCAAAAATGTCTGTGTCAAGCTCACTGCGACACACTGCTGCAGGGAGTATAACCAGCCTTTTAGTATGAGTAACCATATGTGCTCTCTTTCACCCTCTGTCAAGAGAATTAGCTCTGAGCTTGTCTGCCTGGATGTGCCTTTACTCTACAGGGCCACCTGTGGAGCAAGTTAAAAGTTATATTTTTTATCTCTGCTTCTTTTTTTATGTCTGCTTCTGTCTGCTTGAAAGCCAGTCACCTTGGCAGAAGGGGGCTCACATTGAGCCTGGTTCTGAAGCAGGTTTCTTCCTGTTAAAACAGAGATTTTACTCTCCACTGTCGCTACATTCATGCTTGGTGTGAAGGTATGCTGAAGTGTCAAATGCAAATAAATTTCATCGCCACAAGGTCAATCAGGATGACTATGTGATGCTAGTCAATGACTCGATGCATTCAACAGATTTTGCTTGACAAAAAACATTCAACTCACTAACTATTGTCTCTGTAATGTATCTTGAGATCACGTGTGTTGTGAACTGGTCACTATATAAATAAACTGAGTTGAATTGAATTGTTCAGGGGTCGCCAAAGCAAGTTGCTATGACTTGCCTGTTTGTCCTTAACTCAAATACTGTTACACAGTTTTCACAAAGCCTTTAATTATTTGTACAAAGAATTTGTCAATTTGAATGTTTATTCATGCAGTAATGTATTTCTAGAACTAGGCAAACATAAAAAAAGGAACCAATAGACAAGTCAAACCATGACTATAATTTTCCAAAATTGTGAAATATTCTAAAATGCGGTTTGTGAATTGCTAAACCTGCATTTCTGAAAACAATGAAACTTTCTAGTTTTTGAAAGCTAAAATCTCTATTCTATGTGTATCATTACACCCCTACTACCTAACTTCTCAGTATATTGTGACTTATATCAGTAAGATTAAATCTCTAGGGCCTGACCCTAATGAATTGCATTTTAATACTTCAAACATAATAATGTAAAAATCTTTGACAAAACAGGAAGCAAATCTTTCTTTATGATTTAATGTAATTATCAAAGTTTTAATAACAAACACTATAACAGATTAGATTGGTTAAAAAAAGTTTTAAGTCAGCTCATATGTATCTTTAAGCGTTTTTACACATTGCTCAATGACATCTCACAGATCCAGTTAAGTAGAAGCTGCTGGCAGTCTCCATTGTACCAAGTCTTCATAGGGTCTCCATAATAATGAAACGCAGTACAGTTTCCACTCTGATGTCCAGTTTCAGTGGGTTGCCCGGTTCTCCAGTACCTGTGATTATTTAAAAATATTCTGAGATACTTATGGTTGCGTTTCTTAGAAACAGTGATGGTTTTAAAGGGTATTTATATGAGTGCCATAATAGCGAATGATTTCTTACATTACGGATGCGTCAGTCACATTGCTTATCCATGTCCATCTCCCCTGATGTTGCAGATTAGTAAGGCCGATCCAGAAACCATTCATCCACCACATGCTGCTGCTGTCTATTCTTATGAAATTAGTACTTATGAGTTGCTGTAAACAATAAGACATTTGGGGTCAGACATTCGTGTAGTCAAAGAGTAAACAGGCGATTAAACATTGATGTTGGCATGACTACTTTATTTCTATGCAGGATCTCATTTATTTCATCATCATACATATATTAGAATTCAGCCCTTAAATAATTGTTTTTCCTAAAAAGTCAAATTCTTTTAATATAACTCTGTCTTTAGGTTTGAACCCACCTGTTCCTCCAAGTTGTTGATCACCAGCAGGTCACCTCCTTGGCGAATGCAGTCTGCTCTGCTATCTGACCAGTTCTTCCTTGCAACAGGTTCAAATTCAGAAAAGTAGTAGCAGGATGTTTTAAGCAGGATCCACCCTGATGGACATCTGCCACAGCTTTTCTCTGTTATAATAAAAACGAGAACAGAATTTTTTAAATGGTTTCAGAAACAGTCCAACAAAACTTGTAATGTTTTCCCAAAGGCATTCAGACCTGGTGAACTTTTTCTATTTTGCCACATTACCACCACAAGCTTCATTATATTGTAATGTGACAGACCAAAACAGAGTAGTGCAGGTACCTTAAACTGTGATGTTTACTTTGACTTCCATAGATAAAATCTTTTGCATCCAATGGCCTTTAAAACTTGTGTAATTTGCACAGAGTCCACCTATTTGTAATAAATCCTAGAATTTGCTTTGCTAGAAAACTGAATCGGTACACCCCTAAAAGTCGGAATTTTGCATCAAAAAGTCAGGCGACACAACTATACCCAACTTTCATGTTTTCTGAAGGCCTAGCAGGTTTTTCAAAGAACATTACTGAACAAACCACAGAAAGAAGGGAGACGTTAAGATAATTTTAAAGCTGGGTCTAAAGAGTCTTTCACAACTACAAACCTACCAAGATCCGGTCCTTCAAAACTGATTGGCTTGCAAGGCGTATTAATCAGAGAAAGATCTTAGGGGGGTAACTGGAGGTTACAGGTTTACAGGTCTGATGGGGGAATCTCTTAATAGAAAAACTAATAGCTTGGCACTTCAGGAAAACTGCCTTTATGGATGAGTGGTAAGAAAGAAAGGGCTGCACAGTGGGGAAAAGGGTAGCACTGCTGCCTTGCAGCAAGAAGGTTCTGGATTTGATTACTGGCTTGGGGTCTTTCTGCATGGTGTTTGCATGTTCTCCCTCCGGCTTCCTCCCACAGTCCAGAAACATGGCTGTTGGGTTAATTGGCTTCTCTAAATTCTCCTTAGGTATGAGTGTGTGCGTGAATGGTTGTTTGTCTCTGTGTTGCCCTGCGATGGACTGGCGACCTGTCCGGGGTGTACCCCACCTCTCGCACATTAACAGCTGTAGATAGGTAGCTGCACCCCTTGTAACCCCAGCAGGGATAAAGTGTGACTGAAAATGGATGGATGGTAAGAAAAAAGGAAAACATAAGAAATCCCCAAAAAAGCTTATGTATGCAGCCAAAAAATAGGCACATCACTCCATTGTTACTAGTGGGGGTGGAAACACCATGTGGTAGGAGCTCTTTTTCTTCAACTCCGGAATTATCCACTACTCGTCTATTTAATGAATAGATTTAGGTTTTTAATCAAAATATGATAAAATGTCACTGAGATGGTAGAGATCTCACCAGTCTGTATTGCAAGCCTTTGCTCTATGCTTCTGGGTTTTTTTCTTTTTCATTCAAACTTTGTTTTTACAATATATAATGTAATATATTTTGCTCTATGTATTCAATGTTTGCTTTTTACTTTGACCAGTGCATAATACTATAAACATATTCTTTTAATGATCAGTTATTGAATGATTGATTTTTGACTGATTGCCAGATTAACTAATCAAAAAGAGGGATACAAATACTTTAGCAAGAAACAGTAGAAAATGGAACATAATTTTTGAATGCTTAAAACTACCAAAAGCAGATGTATTGGACTTCAGATTTGTCTTCTCTGTTTGCAACTTGGCTATTTGCCTCTGAAGGTTGTCTGTCAGAGTCCTCTTCTGCCTCACTTGCAGCTTTAGTTGCACATGGTTGACGCGCTCGTTCGCCAGCGTTCTCTGAGCCTCCAGTTTTTCTCTTATTATCTCTGTGTGGTTGCGGAGAAAGTTCACCTCAACAAGAAGGGGTGAAGCTGCCAAATCAGGAATCTGAAGGTCTTTGGCATTAGCACCTGTACGATAAGAAAACTCTGTTAGACACTATGAGATATTTAGTGGAAGGTGTTCATTAACACTTTAGTAATGCAAAAATGTGTTTATCTCATAATCAATTGACATTACCTATTTATCACTAGCCTGTGGCACCTTAAGGGCAAACATTTCTGCTTTTGATATGTCTAATATCCTCCTATTAGTTTGGAGATCGGCTCAGGTATTTTATAACTTAACAGTAGTGCACAATACAGATTTTCATACTTACAATAAATCCCAATGACAGCAGCAGAAATGAGCAGAGCAGCATTTAGCAGACCCAGACTTAGTATAACCAGTCGGTGGTGTTGAAACCTATTTCTCCCAATTTCGGTAAACAGACCTTTAAAACATTTATCAGGGTTAGTATTCATAGCTAATTCTACTCAGTTATTGTTTTCAAACAGAAATTAGAAAATATTTCCTAGTTACTGTTTACGCTCTAATGTGTTTACTCCTCATGGAAGATATAAAAGTTTCACTTTTTAAGAAAAAAATACCAATTTCAAATCAATTGTGACACTATTTTGTTCCACTTTCCTTACATTTTAAATAGATTATTTAAAATTTGTAAAAGGAAGACAGACAGACATTAAAGTTTCTTGCAAACTCTACCTTGACCAAATGATTGGCGAGGAGAATGTGAGCTCTCCTCTGTGGTCAAATCTTGATAAATCTTTCCTCCGAACGACATGTTTTCCTCTCTTTCCTCTCTTTTACTCTGAGTTCTGCACTTAACCACTGCAAGTAGTCCTCATTGATCTGTTTGTCTGTCCTGTTCAAACTGACGATAAGGGGGCGGTGTGTGCTTGAGTGACCAGTTTTTAAATGGAAGGCTCGGGACTGTGTGGTGTTTACCATTAGAGGCACGGGGTAAAGGTAAAGGAAATTCAGTTATCTTGGTGCAATTTACAGCTAAGGGGCTTAGAACAGACATAACATAATAATATATTTAGTTCATGAACGTAATTTTTTGGGGGACAGTGGGGACATGTCCCCTGCATTCTCAAACATCAGTTTTGGTCCCCTGCACGTTTTACTGTCCAAAAACAATGTTATACTACAGTACATAGACATTCGTTGAGCACTAGGACCCAGCAGAAAACTGCAGCTCAAGCTGAGGCAGGTCGGTGATTGGATGGTCTTACACGCTGAAGTTAGTTATATCAAAAAATACTTGCATCCCCCCCTCCCACTTCTGAAATCAAAGTCTGTCCATGATTTAGTTTAAAGATTTTAATATTATACAGTATAATCTCTATAATATGACATATAAATACATGTACCTGCTTTATGTAGGATGTATTTTTCCAGATGCTGCTATAGGTGTTCCTTTAACTGCTTTTGAAAAGTACAACACAGTACATAAAGAGTACATGCTCATATGCAGATAGTTGAGTCACTGCATACCTAATTTAGTTCAAATAAAGGAACTCTAGCAAATTAACTACCCATAAAACAATAAAAACAGATTTAAGCTTTGGATTTTTAGACATTGCTATTGAAAGTACATAGAATTGTTTTGGTATCATAATCAATGCATGTATCCCCAGCTAGTTTATTCAAACCCAATTAACTTAGTTTACCTTTAAGTACTTTTAATAGCTTTAGTTTGATGAGCCTAAAGGATCTTTGCTTAATTTAGCATCTCTGTGTTTTATGTTGGGGACTGTGAAACTGTAGTATCTATGCAGCACAGCAGCATAATAAAGACAGAACTGTTGGTTTAAACAGTGATTGAAAGCAAAACACATCTGATGCTTAAAGTGGTCAGCCAGTCACTAAAGCTAACCAGGTGAGCTAGCAGGTGATCCTATAATCACTAGGAAAACCATGTGATCCAAATTACACCAATACCCACAACCTACTTATCTTATTGTAGGTAGCTTGGGTTAGCTTAATCTACTCTAGTTAAGCATGGGTCAGTTTTACGCTTTGATTGGTTTATCTTGCCTCTAGTTAGTTTATTGAGGTTAGCTTAATGTAGGAGCCAATTATATTTTGTTAATAATAAACAAAGTTTTTTTTTTTTTTTGTGGATAATCTAGCTAAGTTTATTCTACTTTATTGTTTGATATCTGTTATGAGATGATGCTATTTGGTTTTTTAGTCATGTTCCTTTGTTTCTGGTTAGTTCTGATTAATTTCAGAGAATTATTTTTTATAAATAGGCTGTCAATGGTAGGACCAGCATGCATCTGGATGGCCATATGTTTTTTTTTTTACCAGCGTAAGTGAAGTATGGAGGAAATGTTTGTCCTTTCCTGTTTGCTTGCCTGAGCAGAAATAAACTAAGAAAACTGAAGGAGTTTACCTGGAAAATGTTTTCTTTTAAATTACTTGTCCATGGTGCATCTGTGGCCTTTGTGGACCTTTTTTTGTGTCATCAAAGCTGGGCCACAACATTTAGTTTAAATTACTCTGTGTTTATTCATTTCCTGTTGTTTCAAATAATGGCATGAGTGTGCTGTAAAATTTTAATAAACCATTATTTACTAAAAAGCTTAAAAGTGTTGAGTACAATTAGATAAACTGATATCCTATGGTGTCCCCAAATGAAAACCTGTGCACCTAATTGCATTTTAATATAATTTTGATTAGCAAACATAGCTCAACTGTGTGTAGTTTTAATCTCAGTATAAATGCAGTTTTATGTTTCAAAACATCAACTTTTACATCCCTGGAACCTGGACTGATAGAATTAATCCGATTAATCGTGATTAATCGATTATTGAAATAATCGTCAACTAATTTAGTAATCGATTAATCGTTAACTGGAGTATAGAGACGGTAAAACATGCCTTTATCTGACAGAGCAACCCAGTTAGAGCAGTAATTATAAAAAAGTTGTTAGGAAAAATATGTAAACATTTTTTATTTCAGATAAATAAAAATCTTTTTCGTCTGTTGTTATGCTATCCTATCCCTTCCACCAAATGAAATTTAAAAGGTACACTATGCAACCGGTGTTGATTTTCCAGCGAGGCTCCCCCCAGAGGGCGAAAGTAAAAGTGCACTGTCGTAAATATGCACAGCTGTTCTCCTGGTTTCTCCGTCAAGCCAGGCGCGGTTGTTAGGTGTTTTTCATCTAAATAATCCAAACTGCAGGCAGCAGGATAATAAAAGCCAACATATTCTGCCGGCAGATTTCTGCATTTTAAGTTAATTTAGGCGTCAATAAACTGTTTAAGAGGAGTGATCATCAGCGCTGTGTCTCTCTCCCTGCGTCAGATGATTAGACGCGCCCGACGCGCTGCTTCAGCTGCTCAGACGCGCTGCGCCTGCTGCTCAAAACGCGCCGCGGGACCTCTTAACGCGACAATTCAATGCGAAATGTGACCTTCTTGGCTTGCCATACAGCTGCCCCGGTGAACCGCAAGGAGGTGACCCGGCCAGAGGCTGCTGATGAAGGGATTCCGACTGTCGGCGCACCGCTGGTATGTGGAGGTCTGAGCGGAAGAAAAAATATTGAAGGCAGGATGATAATCTGAATGAACTGACTGCACTGATGACATTTTCAGCTGTATTTTCTCACTTAAAAACATATTAAAACTACTTTATTCCCACTGATCACAGCAAATATAGCTGCAAGGCAGAGAAAGGATAGTGAAGCTCCGCCCAACGCGCGTCAGACACACTTTTGCACCACGCAGCCAGAGCAGCAAAGCTGCTTCAGCCGCGCGTCAGAACTAACTGGTACAAGCAGCAAAAAAGAAGCAGCAGACGCGATTTTGCTGCTTTTGCTGCGTCCGTGAACGTAGCATAACTGCACAAAGATCGCCAGTGTGCTAGCAACGAGCATGCTTTTAACTGGGGGCGTGTAGCAGTTCTCGCCGTAAAGCAAGACTGACTCTCGTGAGACTTCTGAGCCTGTGGGTGCGGGTCGGTGCTCCTGCAATTGCAAGTGCGGTATTTCCCCCACAGACCACCAGGGCGGCCGAGAATACCTTTGTTCAACCTGAAATGAATCATTTAATCATCCAAAACGTTATGGAACACATTAATTAACTGAAAAATGTTGCATAGTGTGCCTTTAAAAAAATGCTAAATAGAAAGTCATAATTATGAGATTCAAAGTCATAATTTTGAAATATTCAACTTTCAAACTCTGTATCCCATAATTATGACTTTGTAACTAATAATTAAAACAGAGTTCCATTTTCTTAAAGTGCAGCAGTTATAAAATGTAAACATTGTGGGAGAACAAAACATAGTGCAAAATAAACACATTTATATGGTCAGTTTGATGCAGAGTAGATACAGAGAATTAGGATTTTATAACTCATTATTATGACCCCTGTAACTCATAATTATGACTTATCTCCTTATTACGACTTTGTAACTCATAATTATAACTTTGAAAGTCGAAATTGTGACTTTGTATCTATCTCATAATTATGACTTTCTATTTGGCATTTTTTATTTTAATGTGGTCGGAAACAGGCTTCCATACTATCCAGAACTCCTCAAGTGGAAAAGTTTATGTTTCATCTGGTTATATTTCATTAATATTCTTCTTTGAGGAACCTTTGGATATCCGATTATAAATCCATTAATCGAAAAAATATTCAGCAGATTAATCGATTTGCTGAATAATAATTTGTTGCAGCCATACATGGAACAATGTTTGACAAAATCTTAGTTTTAAAAGTAAAACAAATTACTCAAAAATGTAAACCCACAGATCTAAAAAAAAAATGTCTGAGTAAGATGATGTTCTTTGAAAATTTAAATACTAAAATCACATGCCTAACTTAAGCTTGTTACTATTGACCCAATATTGGAAACTGTATTCATATACTTTATGTTAAAGATTATGAAGAAGGAGGTCTGAAAACAATAGATTTTGAATCAATGGTTAGGAGTTTTAAAAAGAAATTGGATAAAAGCTTTTATGTCACAAAAAGAATCCATTTGGTTTCATAACCCAAAAAATATTTTTAAGAAAGTCGGAGGGTTAAATTTCGTACTGAAATGTGATTATGAAATTAAGAAACTGCCAGTCAAATTACCTGAATTTCATAAATAGATATAACACATCTTTGGAAGATGATTTTTCACATAATTTTACTCCACATGGTTTCACACTCTGGAACAACAGAACTATAGTGATAAACAGGAAAACAATATTTAAACAAGTTTGGTTTGAAAAAAAGCTGATCTTTGTAACAGACCTAATGGATGAGCAAGGAAATGTCTTACATTTTAACACCTTTTTAAAAAAAAAAGTGGTATCCAATGTTCATCCACAGATTTTAACAAAGTATGCTAAATAATACCTGCTGCTCTGCTGCATCTAATACGAAGCACAATCTCTCAGTCAAATATACAAGGAGTCTTGCCAAAACTAAAAGTTGAGCAACTGCCTATTAGAGATAAAAAGTGTAACAATCATTTTATAGGACATAATTTTACTGGAATGATAGACATTCGAATTATAAATGATTCAGGTAACATAGGGAAATATTTTAGATATTTAAAATGGCAAAAAATTCCACCAAAAGTAAAAGAAATACCATATAAAATTATTAATAGTTATTATCCAACAGCAGAAACTCTTAAGAAAAGATTTGGATTTGAGGTGGATGCCTGCATATTTCGCCTTGAAGAACCAGAAACTATTGAACATCTATTCGTGTCGAGTCACAGGTTGTTTTTGGCAGAACCTGCAAATTTGGTTAAGTAACAAAATAGATAATATAACACCTTTTGAGTCAAATATTAATATACAAGAATGACATTCCTAAGGATTTATCTGACATGGTCCATATTGTTATAAGTATGGGAAGATACCACATACATGTACGTTAA